TATTCGAGGTCTCACGGCTTCCCGAATGCTGAGGGAACCTGTTATGACAGAATTAATAAAATCCTTATGCTTTTGCATCGGCTGTGGTATATGAAATGGTCTCTGGGGGCAACTCCTTCTCAGTTTGGACACTAGAGTCCAACACTATGATAATACCACTAAACTGAAAAACACCACCTAAAGATTGGCTTTGGAATACAAACAGCTCAGAACAATTTCAACGTGTCTAGCTAAAATGATCCAGCCTCACAGACTACTCTAGCCAGGAATTGAGACACACACTGTACATTTTCATTATGCAGAGACTAGACAGCAAATGATACAGATACCTTTCCAAGGACTTGACAATTAATCCAAATTTTTCTTTTCAAGATCCCCAAAAGATGTCATCAACCAAGACAGCAGGAAGTATATTTAAGAATACAATGCCCACATTCCCAAAAAGTGGGTTGGGTGTATTTTGATCATTTAATGGTTTTTAAATATTTGTCATTGTTTAGAAGGATTAATTATGAGCTGTTATTGGTTATAGTCAGGAGGAATATTGAATAAAGGAGATAAGATTCAGAGTTCTTCTTTTGAAAAGGAAAATAAAGATATGCTAGAATAAAAGAAAATGTTCTTGCCTCAACTGCTGACAACATGCTGTCCTAATTAGACAAATGGGACACAAAAGAGAGTAACTGCCAAATCTTGTCACTCATGCCACGCCTTCAAAATAATTACTTCATAGAAAGACCTGTCTATGTCTTTTGGCTGAAGATGGATGTTGAACATTGCAGAGGATCTTCGGATGACTGTCCAGACAGCCAGCTGTTTCATTTCTCACATTTTTGGAAGTTGTTCGCTTGTACTTTCTGCTTACTCAGTTAATATTATTTCTTTCTGGGCTGGGAAGATGGCTCAGTGGTTAAGAGCATTGTCTGCTCTTCCAAAGATCCTGAGTTCAATTCCTGGCAACCACAGGGTGGCTTGCAACCATCTGTAATGAGGTGCCCTCTTCTGGCCTGCAGACACAGACAGAATATTGTATACATAATAAATAAATATTTAAAAAATATTAAAAAAATAAAATAAATATTATTTCTTTCTTAGGTCTCTGAGATAGTTAAAGAGTAGCTAGTTATAGTTTTCCTTGTTTATGAGATTCAGATAAGAAATTCACTAAGGAAGTGTAAAGTGTAAAGAGAGATATTTAAATATAGTTTTGGATGGTAAGGCACATTATGACAGAAAGTACGTTAGTGAAAAATTTTGGACTCACCAATATAGAATAGATAAGGAATATTTTCTCTGAATTTGTCAAATGCAAATGGACTATATGTATTGCTTGTATATATTGTTATTATACCTACTGTATATATTTTTTCTTATTCTAATAAAAGCCTTTTTATTTTATGCAAAATGTAGAACTACATTGTTATATATTTGTGTTTTAGTAAATAAAGCTTGCCTACAGATCAGAGTGCAAAGCTTTCCACTCTAGTCAGACATACAAGAGAGGCAGTGGTGGCACACACCTTTAATCCCAGCAGTCACACTAGTTAGCCATTGAGGCCAGGCAGTGTTGGTCTACTTCTCTAATCCCAGCACTAGAGAGGAATAGAAGATAGAAGGTGAGAGAAACTCAAGGCCTCAATTTAGAGTCTGCAGTAATGCTGTGGACAGGATCACCCAGTCTTAGTAGAGGTTTGAACTCTCTATTGTTTGTTTTTTTAATCTTCATATTGAACCCTAATATCTGTTCCTGGATTCTCATCATTACCGTTATACCCCTTGCTCCCCTATTTTCAGAACAGATGGACAACCTTTTCTTCCTCACAAAATTCTACCATTTAGTTGTACTTTTACTGATATCCCCCTTGTTCAATTCTTCCTAGTAGTAACAACCTGTGCTGTGCTTTGCAGGGTACCGATCTAATAGCCAGAGTGGGAGCATCTATTTCTTTTGATCCCCCATATGCTTGATGCCAGGATCCCTGACATTCCCTTCTCCTCCAAACCACACAATCTGACATACCTTTCCCTTACTGACCTCCTAGGTGTATCCTCAAATATGGGGCATCCAAAAACCCTTCTTGACCCAATTATCATTCCCCTCATATCATCCAATTGCAAAATACTACCAATTACATCATCTATGCTCAATATCCACTCTCTATTAGAAATTTTACAGGACTTTTATCTTAGCCCACTTAAGAAAGAATCTTCTGTCCCCCCACATCTTTCCCCATAGTTATTGTTAAAAATCCCAACTGAAACATCTACTTGTCTCAGGGTCCCCAACTTAATCAACTTGGAAGTAGTTTCCCTTCAATTTATAGTAGTCCACCTATATAAGCCCTCCAAGCATGAAACTAACCAAAAGGATAAACTTTTCTTACTCATGTCTTTCAAATATTATGAAGATATGGTAGCTCAGAACCAAGATTAAGTCTTGTTGAATAAAATCAAGATTTGACTCAAGTTGCTGGTTTGACTATCTTCAGGAGCATAGAGACCATTTGTTTCTGATGGTTTATTCTGCCCCTTATCTTTGGTTCCAAATTCTAGTGTCTGTCTCTTCAGCTGTTTCTTCCCTCTATATGTGTTAACCATCCATCTCTTTTTGCTTCTCTCTGTTATTTTGAGCCTGCTATGCCCTCCAGTGCCTGACCACATGGGCAACTCTCTCGTTATTAAGACACTTGCTTTTCACCCTCTTTAGAACCCTCCCTGTTTCCTTGTCTCCTCATCTTAGCGATTGCCTGCTAAATTTGTAGCATCCTTAAGCACTTCTGGGTCTCTGTGATCTTGTTCTCCTGTCTGTCAGCTCTGTCCTAGAAGTCTCACAGTTTTTCTGTCTCATCATGGCTTTCTTTCTTGTCTCTCAGGTACCACTTGGAGCTTACAGAAACTCCCTCTGCTGGAGTTAATTTTATAATCTTTCTTCTCTTCCTACATGAACTTGAATTTATTAAAACCCCAAACTATAAATACAAACAACTTGGCCAAAGTACAGCTCAATGGTCAAAACTGGCATGCTCAATTTTGAATGGTGGTGGCGACTTCTGTCACTGCATAAAACCTGATTTGAGAATCTCTTAAATCTAAATTAGCTCCATCTTCCTCTATTTCTTCCTATCTATACCTGTTTGCACTATATCTTATATATGGATGTTTATTGTCCAAAGGATGCTCCCCTCTAAACAACAGCCTATTCTAGTAAGTAAAAAGTTTTGTGGCCCAATAAGCTTCTCTGCTGATGCAATAATCTAAATCAGAACAAATCAAACCAAATTAGAAACAGCCACGATTTAATGGATGCTAATGCTTCCTGGTGGTCGGTGAGGAAGAACAGAAATCTAGGATATGGAAAAAGAAGACTAGGAAATCCATGTGTTCATTCCCAGTTTAAATAACCACAGTTTAAATAACCTGTGGGAGTGGACTTGAGCATCTCTGAGGTAGGGTCACCATTTGGTGGGCTTTCTGTAAGATGGAATCTGGACTGAGGCAGTTCCTAGGGGAGGGGGCATAGAATGGATGTTTTTTACGTGGACATTCCAGAACCCTTAGATGTATGGATGCCAGTTTCTGGAGTGAAGCCTGTACCCAAATATTCCAGACTATTTGGGTATAGGAGCACTAACTCAAGTCTGGTTACTTTCTGTGGGCATGGGGCAACATGGGAGAGGGGAGAGTTAGGAGATGGTGGGCTCATACAGGAGGTGTGGTTGTAGAAGCATCCAGTTTCTTGTAATCTTGGGGTCCTTGGGCATATTTTCCTTGGGTGATATGAGAAGACACATTGTTAGGAGAAAAAATAGATTGCTGTCACTGACACTATGAAAGGGGCTAGTCATGGAAAAGGTCAATCACTGCCGGAAAGAATGGAGCAGAGAAATTCCCTGGATATACAAGAGAGGTATGGATTAATAAGTGAGACAAAAGAACAGATATGACCAGATTATAAGTAGTAGGTGTCCATTTGAGCCAGGAGAGGTGGTACCAATGTTGAATGAAGTTCCGGAAGCTAGTGCAGGTGTTGGCATTGTCTAGAAGGCCCTCTGTTAGTTGGTCTTGGCCGAGACAACAGAAGTGAACTGTAAAATATTCCTGAAAATGGGTGGTGTTATAAAAGGCTCTAGAGACTTAATTTTTACCAGATCTGATTTTTTATTGACATTTATTTAGCTCTATGTTTTTCTCTTTCCCCTTCCTACCTTTTTCCTCCCCCGTTAATACTCTCCCAATGTTCTCATGCTTCCAATTTACTCAGGAGATCTTGTCTTTTTCTACTTTCCATGTAGATTAGATGTATATAAGTCTCTCTTAGTGTACTCATTGTTGTACAAATTCTCTGGGATTGTGATTATTAGGCTGGTTTTCTTTGTTTTATGTTTAAAAACTACCTATGAGTGAGTATATGTGATAATTGTCTTTCTGTGTCTGGGTTACCTCACTCAAAATAATGTTCCCTAGCTCCATCCATTTTCCTGCAAAATTCAAGATGTCATTATTTTTTTTCCGATATGTAGTTCTCCTTTGTGTAAATATACCACATTTTCCTTATCCATTCTTTGGTCGAGGGGCATTTAGGTTGTTTCCAGGTTCTGGCTATGGCTAACAACGCTGCTATGAACACAGACCTAATTTTTTGATTTAGTAGCAGGATTTTTTTTTCCAGAAACTTACTGGTATCTGTAAGACAAATGGTATCTGTAAGACAAAATGTAAGACTACTGGTATCTGTATGACAAAACGTCTGTAAGACACAATATTTACTTCTTGGTGTCATAGTAAAAATAAGGTCAGGAAATTGTTCTATAGCAGGCTGTCAATGACTGATTCAGTTTGCTACAACTCCTTTATTCACTTCTTCTTCAACTGAGCTTATCCCCATGGCCATTTTCTCTATTTTTGTATGATAAAGTCTTTCCAAAAACCACAAATAAGAAAAACATGGTTTTTAAAAGATAGGTTTTTAAAAAATGTTCCTTATTTAAAAGGTACTAAAACTTCACCTCCATGTACATACTCATATATAAGAATGTAAATCATGCTGGTACCTGAACTTTGCAATGTTACTGTCTCCTACTTCATATTACGTTTAAAAAGACAAAGAGTTCATGGAGAGCAACTGAGACTTGTCACTGTGATGCAGAACTGAATTTCTTAAAGAGAGCACAGGAGAGGCTATTGTCAAAAATGTAGCCCAGTTGCAATGAAAGTGTAGTAATGTCTGAGGATGAGAAGGCACAAGAAAGTTTTGAAGATATAAGAAAGTTGTTAAGGTATGTAATTAAAAGTTCTGACAAAATACATAAGAGATTTAAGATAGTGAAAGATGTTTCAGAATTCTTTCCCTATCTATGCTATTGTTAAATAAATATTTCAACAGCTCAGGAAACCTGTACCAAAAGATTTAACCAGAACACCCATGTGGTAGAGTCTAGAGACTGTTCACCAGCAGATTGCTAAATGGAGATAATTTTTCCTATATAACCTAAATATATTTCAAAACAAACTCTACTTGCTTTCTCTATGATCAACTAGATCTTACAGTTTACATTGACCAGAGAATTATGAAGGTTGCCATTATTGGTATTGAAGAAACATGATCCATATTTAAGAGCATTTAACCTTTCTGCAATGTGGGGATTTTTTTTTGTATCATAGTTAAGGACCCATGGCACTCCAGATGAAAAACAGTCATTGGTAATCTTTACTATAGCATCTAACATAACCATCCACTGATTATAGCAAATTTTACAAGAAGATGTGGTAGCACTTAGGAAAGTTAGATTCTCGGGTTTGGGCTGTAAAAAGGTTTTAATTAAATGAGAAAAGGCATGGCTATTGGGTGAAAGAACTCTTGCAGACAAGATAGAATCTATGGAGCATCTGAGAATGATAGTATAAATGTGGGATGTAAAGTAAATATGTGTTGTGGGGTATGAGAGGGATGCAGGCCTGTGAGAGACATGGCTCTAGTTACCTCACAGGCTGGGTTATTTCTGTTAGAGGCAATGGAATTGTCTACTTGGTACTTTTGGCAGTGGACATTTTCTATGACTGTAGAAAGAGGATAGATCTTTAGCAGGTCCATAATTTGATCCAAGTTATTGACCTTCTGTTTGTTGTTAGTTCATGTTTATTCCATATAACTGTATGTGATATGAGAATATGGAAGGTACTTTTGGAATCTTTATTAAGGTTTAGGGACTGTCTCTTTACTAATTGAGAAGTCTACATGTAATAGGTTTCTATCAAATGCTTTGACACTTTCCCCACCTTAGATTATAGAGTAATGGACATTGAATACTGCAAAGTACGGCTGTTGAACTTGTTACAAATCCAATATTTTCTTGAGTAGTTGAAATGATTGGCGAGTATATAGTCATACACTGTACCCAAAAGGCCACCTCCAAAAACAGGTTCCCTAAAAGAACAAGAACAAGAAAAAAAAAACAACTAAATTTCTACAGAGGCCAGCACTATTGCAATGAAATTTTACCCATCTCCATTGCTTATTTATGAATGAATCAAAGAAAGGCAGAGTCCATGAGGAATCAACAACACTGGTTTTCATCTAGTGTCTTTTACATCCCATGGTTCAACTTGAACACTGCACCACTGAAATTGATCCGTATTGAACCCTGCAATGAGTATCTAATGCATTTGAGAGGTGCCTGCTGCCATGTTCAAAGGAATTGCCACCCTGACTTGTCTCACTGAGGGTGATGTTAAATTCTACCTTGAAGTATTTTACACATGTATACAAATGCTGAAATCCCCCTTCACAGTAAATTGCTAACAGGGATTTAATGATGGAAATAACTGGGCCTATGTTTTGTCATTTCAATGAAGTGGCTCCATTCAAAATGACTATCTATGCTCATGTCTAAAAGCTGTCTTAGTGCAGACTTTAGAGGAGGTTCCTAATGTCCCAGGAGTCTCTGCATCTGAGAACAGGTACAACTGTGTAAACAGTTGCCTGGCAAGTCCTGCCCCAGCCATTCTGCAATGACTTTCTGAGGTTTCAGAACTCTCATAGCCCATCTGCAGTTCTGTAGACATGCCACAAGGTCCTTTCTCAGGAGAAAGTGTTTTACATTGATGATGGAGCATAAAAGATTATCCCCTGATGCCATCAAAATGTTAAAAATTTTGAGTCAAATCAAACAAGGTAAATGCTTTGAAGATGATGGATAATAAATAGGAGAACATGTAGTTGGAAGTTTTCCTGTCTTCACCTTCCACTCCCTGTTTTAGCAACTGCTTACAAATTATCACACAGAGACTTAATATTATTTATAAATGCTCAGGCTTACTATGATCTAACTCTTACACTTAAATTAACCCATATTCCTATTTATGCTTTGTAAAAGTCTCAAAGCTTGCTACCTCATTTTTTACACATCCTGCTTGCTGGGGGCTGACTGGCATCTTTGGAGACTCCCCTGACTCTGCCATTCCTCCTCTCATCATTCTCTTTGAGTCATTCTGTCTAGCCCAAGCTCTTCTTATCCTTCTATCTGTCAATCAATTTCTTATTAACAATAAATATAATTCAAAGCATTGACCATCCAATGATGTACAATTGTAAGGCTTTGGAGGTAGCCAGGGATTGGCTCTTGCATGTGAGCACAAACCCTGCCTCAGAGCCAACCTCAAGACCAAAGGCTTACTTTTCTTGCTTTCCAGAACAACTGGTAGAACATGGCACTGACTTTTATTCCTCATAGCCACAATTCACACACCACAACACCGCAAAGCAGTAGGAAAAAATAATCTGAAAACGTACAAATTATTATATTCAGTGTTGTCTATCCACTTCCAAGGGTGTTCCGTTGACTCTCTATACAAGCCAATCCAGTGGGCAGGATATGATGCACATCTCTTGAGGAAATTCTGTCATAAAACATTAAAAGTAAAATCATGTGTCCCTCTGTTTCAAATGACCCTTGAGTCTCTCTGCCCTACAGCCTCCTTTCTGAAAGGTAGCAGGTTCTATCTGAGGGTCATCATCTTTGGAACATCGTAACACTCAGTTTTCACCCTATGAATTTACATTAATAATCCCAAAGTATATTGTTGGCTTCTCAATTTTTCTATGGCTAAAATCACTCATCATTAAACTTAGTCTTTCCATTATTAACAGTTACCACATTCAGTATGTAATACCTGCCAACTTGGATAAAGACTTCCATGATTATCTTGTATCTAAGTGGATTATTTGGGAATGTATATTGACTATGATCTCTACATGAGAACATGTCTTTGGGAGGTCTCAGGGTCAGAAGCAACAACATTAGCAATAATACACATTCAACAGAACAAAGAACAAATCAATTCCTGATCATTCTTACCAGCTCCTCCAGGCTGTCAAATCGAGCTAGTTCGGCTGCCTGTGCCCTACAGTAGGCCTGGCTGACTGTCCAGTTTCTCTTGTCTTGAGAAAAATAAAAGCATTTGCTTCCAAATCCAATCCATCCATTTGGGCAGTTTGCATAGCAAGATCCAGGGGTCAACATGACTGGTTTTTCCTTTCTCACTAAAATGCGGACAGTGCAATGAAATAAAGCAAAGAAACATTTTCATGGTACATCTCTTTTGCTAGCCATGCAAATCTCATTTGGAATTTATGTGCTTATGTTGTGCTCCAATTAATCACTAGAAGACCCTTTCATGCATGATGGTTCCAAATCCAAGGTCTTCCAGTGGGCTATGAAGAAATTCTTTCTTTTCCTTCTTTATATTTTGTGTTTTAAGAAAGAGTCTTAAAATACCTTGCCTGGATCTAACTATGTAGACTACACTTGTCTGGAGCTTGTATTTATCTGCTGGCTGTGCCTCCCATGGGCTGGAACTAAAGACACCATGCCATGCAAGAAAATCATTTCTAGGCCATCAGCTCCTTAGAACTGAGAAGTCTAAACTTCATTTCTTTGAAAAGTTAAGATGCAGTATCTTACAAAATGAGCTATTGATAAACAACACCCCTGAACACAAGGACAAGGGAGAGAGAGCACAGAGCATGTCCATGGCCTGAATCAACCCCATAGTACCTCAAAGCAATGACTAAAATAGGACTATTCCTGTAACCCCTGAAACAAGCCTGGACTTGCCCGAGTATGCCCAAATATGGAAAAACAATAGTAAAAAAATCTCTTAATGTAATATGAGAAATGATATAGCTTTTTTTTCCTGGAATTTACCTAGCTATGTTTAAAAGGACCTGTGGGTCTTTGTTCCAGGTTACCATTTTGTACACGTAGTAGATCCTGCATCCTGGAATAAGTGCTCTTTGTCTTTGCATACTGTTTGAGTCTGTGCCTTCCTTCAGTGGTTCTCATTATCTTAAAAGACTGTTCCTTATTCTTGGACCCTATATCTTCCTTTCCCATAATACTTCACTTCCTTTTTTCTCTTCAAAAAAAAATTTCCTCACCTTGCCTAAATTTTACAATAGAAGAAATGACAGTGTATAGAACATGGGCATAGCAAAATAGATCTTTTATATCAAGTTTCCCTATAATTCTTCCACACTAGCATTGTGTGCATATGAGTGTGTGTGTGTGTGTGTGTGTGTGTGTGTACACATGCTGGTTTTTGTTAGAGCAACACAGAATGGCTATCTTAAAGAAATCTGACAATTGATGTTAGAAAACTGTGCAGAAAAAAATGTACATTAATTCTCTGCTGGTGGGAGTACAAATTGATACAGTCAGCTGTAGGTTCCTCAAAGAAATTTGAAGTAAACATATGTGTCACATCTTTACCATTCCTGGGCATATAGAGAGAGAATCTGACATCCTACAACAGAGATATTTGTACATCCATGTTTACTGTGTCCTTATGTACAATAGTAATAATATAGACCTGACCTTAATAGCCATCAGCTAAAAAGATCATTACATGTGTTACACATACAAAACATAATGTTATTCATCCATAAAGGAAAATGAAATTTAGGGAAAGTGAGTGTGTTTCAAAAGTTTGATATCAAGTGAGGTCACCCAAACTCAAAAATAAAGAGACCCATGTACTTTATAACAAGCAATACCTGCCTGTGATGTACAGTGTAAACAGCTGTGAGTGTGAGTATTTTTAATACATTGTAAGGAGAACAAGGAAGAGTAGTGCAAAGTGACAAGGAATGACAGGAGGCAGCAAGTGGCTTGTAGTTGTAAGAAAGGATTATGAACAGAATTGTATTTATAATTTCAACTCTACCATGGTTTTTTGTGTGTGAATAAGTGAATAAAAATGTGATAGACAGTGAAAGTCTAAAACAATAACCAAAGCTCCATAGCATCAGAATTGCTATTCTGTGTGGCAGTTCAGTGAGATACATGGGGTTCAGGAATTGACAGGTCTTGGAGTGGCTATGCTAATGGAGCTGTGTGATATGTTTCTTTGTGAGTCTATCACAATAGAGTGATTATATATGTGCGAGTGTGTGTGTGTGTGTGTGTGTGTGTGTGTGTGTGTAAGAAGCTCTAAATTTCAGAGAAAGCTTAGAAGAATAACATTTTTCTGTCATACCTTCAACTTTTTCAACCCTTAAATGAGCAGAAGGAAGGCACTGTTCTTCTAAAGGTCTTCTAAATCCTAGAAATAAGTGATTTCATAAGAGATATTAAATATCAGAAATGGCTCCCCAGTAATTTTTAGTAGAAGGGAATTTGATGTCTTTGTCCCCAGTTCTCACACCACAAACACAGAGGCCTCAGTGAAAGCGACAAATATAACAGACAGTGAGGACGACGCGAATGTATCTTCTTTTTATTTGACTCTTTTTAGAACTGTGTAATAGTTTGTTATACTGAGTAAGACTTTTTGGAAGTTGTTTGTAGATGTTTAGGCCTGTTTATTATTCACTGACTTGGTTAAAGTTGATTTTATAAACCAATATCAAAAAACATTTCTGTGAGCTCTGACAAAACGCTGTGCAAATTTTTATCAGATAATTCTGAACAGTCCACAACTTAAAGCTTAGGAAAAGCATACTTCTAGAGCTATCTGTTTAATATTTTCAAACTGTGGTTGAAGACATTAACTGAAACCAAGAGTCATGTGGCATGGGGTTCTGTGCATTTCTCAAACCAAACACTCTTCACCGCCCTCACTTCTTTCAGGTGCATCAGCCTTCTTGAGCTTTCTTCTTTGAGCTTTCTTGCTCACTGAATTGAATAGTTCTGCTGCACCTCTGTTTAAACGTTGCTGAATGTCCTCTTCCCAGGGATGCTGAGCCTGGCCTCCTGTGCACACCACAGCCTGTGCTGTCCCTTCACTGCCTCTTTCTGCTAGACCCTAAATTCCCAGAGAAGAGGAATTTCCAGTATGTTTCCTGTAGAGACTTTCCCACAATTCTTGACTCAGTGATCAGTAAGTATAATCAAAAATGTGAATGTATCAGAGACCAGCTTTGACAATAATACCATTTGCAAGGGTAGGGACAGGGAACTAGAAAGTGAGAAAAGGGTACGAAGACGTGAGTGAAAATAATAAGACAGAAAACATAGGATAGTACTGGGCGGGAGTTCCAGTGAGTACTGAAATCATCCACGTTCAATATTCTATATATTTTTATATCCCAATACAACAGGGATAAGAAGACAAAAGACTTTCTTTAACATGGTTAAACGGGCAACTAGAACACTTATTTGCTTTATTACTTTGAGTCATCAAGCCATTAATCCAATAAGCATTTTGTGGTTTATGCAGTGAAACCACCCTAGACCAAGTATCTTGAAGGCAGCGACTCCTAAGGCCAAACCTTCTATTTCAGAAGAAAGAGCAAAAGTATGTTTGAATTTCCTGAACATTAATCAGGGTGAGTGGACCTATTTGTATAGTAAGTATATCTTAATGCCAAAAAGGCCAAGTAGCCATACCCTAGGTAAGGGTGTGTAGCCACACTCTTTGTCAACAACTCTCAAGAAGGTGAAACTCTCTGACCTTCAGCCAGGGTAGAAATAGGCTCACATTTTTGGGTCTCCACATCAATGTATAGAATGTTGTAGAATTTGGACAACAAATCACATACCTGACAAGGCAACAGAAAGTACGATTACAGCTACAGTGAGAACCATGATTACTACATAGCAGCAGTAAAGCTTAACAGGAGGCTCAGTGGAGATGATTCTGAAACATTTTCCTTGCTGCTTTTTACCTGAAAATATAAATATCAAAATATCAATCTCAGGAAACTTTCGGAGAAAAAATTACCCATAATCAACTGTAAATTCACTTCTACTCCACTTGAGAAAATGCCCTTCACAAAATTTCCTGGTCCATAAATGATATCGTTGGCGTGCAAAACACTAGAGAAAAGAGAAACACTTTTTTTTTTGCCACCATTTTCTAGTTATTTGCTCTAGGAGAATGGTCTTGTACTTTGTAAAGATTTGTCTCTTGTATTTTAATGAAACACTGGTTGACCAGTAGCCATGAAGGAATTATATGTGGGGTGACCAGGCAGAAAATAGAGGTGGGGCAGCAAAGAAGTAGAATTCTGGGAAAAGGAAAACTCAGTCTGTAGTCATTACCTAGCCATAAAGGAAGCAAGATGAGAATGTCTTACTGATAAAGGTACCAAGCCACATGGCTAACACAGACAAGAATTATGGGCTTCTATAAGTTATAAGAGCTAATAAGAAGCCTGAGATAATAGGTCAACCAGTTTATGGTTAATGTAGACCTCTGTGTTTTCTTTGGTACTAAATGGCTGCAAAACTGAGCAGGATGGAAATCTCAGTCAATAGTTATTGATTTAGGCATGAATGAAAGAGCAATAGACAGTAACAGTGAAGATAATAGTAAAAAGAAAATAATAACAAAAAAACACTATTAGTGTTATAAGAAGAGACCAGGTTAGGACAGATGGGTCTGTAATAATAATAATAATAATAATAATAATAATAATAATAATAATAATAATAATAATAATGAAAAGAAAATCAGTATGTAAGCTGGGTGACACAGGAGTGTTCTTCTGGCACATGGGAGGTGGAGGCAGGAAAGTCAGGAGTTTGACATTATTCCCGGCTAAATATTGAGTTTCAAAATTAGATGGACTAAAAGAGACCTCATTCTATATACCTGTCTTTCTTTTATCTGTCTTTCTTTCTATCTATCTCTTTATTTATCTATCCATCCATCCATCATCTGTCTATCTATCTGTCAATCTATCTATCTAACCATCTATCTACCATTCTATTGATGTATCTTCTATTTCACTATAATGAACTAACTAAATGCAGTTTGACATAATCAGAATAAGAAAATAAAAAAGGAGCATTTCAGCAAAGCACACACACACAAGTTACTGTAAATCCATAGTAAGAACTTTCAGCATATTAGTAATTAAATGAATTTTTGAACCTAACAGGAGCTATCCAGAATAAATGAAAACAAAACTACAACTAAAGTCAGCATGAATGCTCTCCCTCAGTCCCCCAGAGCAAGGTAGGATGTCTGCTAACCATTCTAGTGTGACACTTGGGTTCCTATCCAGGACATAAGGACGAGAAAGTGAAATAACTCTCATGCTCCACAAAGAGAGATGAAAGTGTCACTATCAGACAACATGGATGGATCTACATACAAAGTTCTAAGGAGTCTTTTAGAAGAGCCCTATAAGGAATGAGTGAGTTTACAATGCGGCAGGACACAATATCTTTGCTTAAAATAATCTGGATTTTTATACACTAGCAGTTGTTAAATGTAAACAAATATAAGTACTGCAGCTCTCACAGTACTGCCAAACACAAAATTGTACATGTAGTAGAACATGCTCATATTCTGTCGTTGGCAGAGCAACAAGGGCTTTTAACTTCTGAGTCAATTCTCTGTTCCCTTTCATTGGGTTCCTAAAGATGTCAATATATTGTAGGTAAAATTTCTTTGGAGAGAATGAAAAAAATAAACATCAAAAAGAAAATATAAAATTCTTGTCAGTACATTTTTTATCTTTTGATTTTTTTTTGTCAGGAATCAGAAAAACTAAATCTATTTTAATTTTCTGTGTGTAAGATAAGAAATCTCTGCCTGAGACAAGTACACTGACAAGTTTTTTCTTCAAATAGATTTAAAGTTCTAGACTTCATGTTTGTGTCTGTTGTCCATTTTGAGTCATTTATTATACAATGAATGAGGTATGAGTCATCATCATGGGAACCAGCTGTCTGCATAGCATCATATGCAGAAGAAATATCATCCTTTCTTTACCCATAAAACTTGCAAACTGAGACTTTTTGGTTTCCCGGCCGTCGATACTCGAATAATCACACAGAACCTATATTAATTACAACACTGTTTGGTCAATGGCTCAAGCATTTTCCTAGTTAGCTCTTATATTTTAAATTAACCCGTTTTTATTTCTCTACCACCATGAGGCTGTGGCCTACCAGTAAGTTTCTTGTATCTTTCTATATTGGCAGCTACAGGGCAATTGGCTGATTCCACCTGTTTTCCTCCTCTATCTCTGCTTGGATTTCTTGATTTGCTATACTCTGTACTGCCATAGGTCAAAGCAGATTCTTTATTAACCAATGGTAATAAAACATATCCATAGCATACAACAGATTTCATGTTTACATCTTTATCCATTTTGCATCATTTTGTTCAATAAATGAGATATGAATAATCACTATTGGAAGAAACTGTCTTAGCATCATATATAGAAGAGACACCTTCCATTCTCTACCTAAAAAACTGTCCACCTTGCCTAATTTGCAGTTCACAGACACACACATTTAATAAAACTTACATTGATTTTTAAAAATAAAACTATACCAAAAGTAACAAACTGCAGTAAGTACATCTGTTAAAAATGCTCAATATTACCAATGTTTGGGGGAAACAAAGTTTAGTGGTTTGCTAAAATTTGAATACAATTCCCTCATAACCTAGATCTAAGGGAAATGTCTGTGTTTACATAAAGAACTCTGTCTGCATTCTAGCAGTTTTATGAATTTAGTCTATGTTTGCAACAACTCAAATATCCCTGAGCTTGTGACAAAGTGAAACAATATTACTCAGACCTGAGGAAGTGATTGAAAAGAAAAACTGGACCTCAGGGTTGCATCTGCCCATTTCTTGTGCTGGTTAAATGTTCTTCATCTTTCTGTTCCCAGAAATCCTTAAGCAAAAACTTGATGCCCACTTTAGTAACCCTTGATTAGTTGGCAACAAAAGCAGCCATCCACCGGCCAGGGAGGTGGCTTAGTGGAAAAAAAAAAGTGTATTATATTCAAGCCTGATATTCTTGATTTAATCTCTGGAACATGCACAAACGCAGAAGATAAGCAAATACAGGTAGCTGTTTTATCGACTTTAGATGTGAGTTAAGGCTCATGTGTGAACTCACCACCACCACCATCACCACCAAATCCCAAACAGCAACAAAATTTTACCCATTCCATGTGCAGTTTACTTGGAGAATCTGACAACAGGTCACTGTTTTTCTGCTGTTAAATTTCAACTACCTGCTCTCTTTTTGCTCATTCTCTTACCCGCTAGTTTCCTGAAAGGTTTCCTTGATCTTTTTGAAAATTCTTTTTGTGTTCAGGTTTGAAATACATACCCTGAATTTACATCTCACACCTCAATCATTCCTGTTATTGAACCTCTTCTACTATAGCTACTGTGTTTATAGTTGACATATGACTGGAATGTACTGTGGATTAATCTCAAATGCATGATTAAAGCAAGGATCCAGCTGTATGACATTCTTGAAAAGCAAGTGTTTTAGCACTGAAAAAGCAAAGATGCCATAGGCTGGGTACAGAGGTAAGGAGTGTCTAGAGAAGGACCCTGGGGTAATGGGGTGGGGTCTGATTCTATAAAGTGACTATGATGAAGACTTTGTAGTTATGTTCTAAAAGTTTATGAACATATACATGAACACAATGGTATAGTTAATGGGAAGGTTTAAATTGTAGACATAAGGAAGCATATAGTAGAGGCCTCAGGAAGAGTCCAGAGCAGTGAGAGAATATAGTAGACTAAGATGGCCAGCAGCTGAAACTGGATGACTAAGAGAAAAGGGGGGCAGAGATGAAGACAAGGAAGGGGGAGAGACCAGGGGAGAAGAAGATAAGAGTGAAGACCTAGAGGAGTAAAAGAGAGGGGAAAGAGAAAGCCTGGCAGGACTATAGGGCACCAAGACTGGGAGAGGGAAGCCCAAGATATGGAGAAGTTTAGGGTAAGGAACAAATTGATAAGAGCTGAGAAGGGCCACAGGCACTGAGTGAGCCTGGAGGCCAGCATGTGCTTTGGTGTGCTGAATGTCACCAGAAGCTGTTTTCTACCTGACAACTCTTACTGCTTTCTCTCCTTACCTTTTGTTTTGCTTTGTTTCTGTTTTGATTTTTTTAATTAAAACAAAAATGTGGTTATGGAAAATATAAAAGCACATAGAAAAAATGGTAAGAAAAATCTACAGGCTGTGCTACCTTGTCTCAAACGAACTATGGAGTGTTTGTTTCAGGGTGGGGGTCTGTAAGGTAGATGGAAACATTTTCAGTTATGGGACTATTTGACCTAGCTGAAAAACATCTATTTTTTAAAATATTTATTTATTTATTTATTTATTTATTTATTTATTTATTATGTATACAATATTCTGTCTGTGTGTCTGCCTGCAGGCCAGAAGAGGGCACCAGACCTCATTTCAGATGGTTGTGAGCCACCATGTGGTTGCTGGGAATTGAACTCAGGACCATCGGAAGAGCAGGCAATGCTCTTAACCACTGAGCCATCTCTCCAGCCCCCAACATCTATGTTTTTATGAACTTGCTTTTGATGGAAAGTACAAATGCTGCTTTCCAGAAAATTCAATATTCTTTCACTAAAACACAAAAACAAACAAAGAAAAATTAAAGCGATGGAAAAGGGAAGAAAGAAGTAGAAATAAGAATGAAGCCAACAGTTTCCAAACACAGAAGACAGTTTTCTCCCTAAAGACTAAAACAGAAATCCCACAGGATTCTTCATTCCATAATTTTCTGTAGAGTGAAAATACCAGACAATTTTAGTGCTGTAGATGTGTGTGTATGTGTGTGTGTGTGCGTGTGTGTGTGTGTGTGTGTGTGTGTGTGTGTGTATGATTTGCTAGGGAGAGAAGTGGCCACAAAACCAACCACTACACCTCTTTCCTCCCTGCGTTTTCTGTGAATCACTCTGAATCTGAAAACTCCAGACCCTAGCTTCATAGGGAACTTCCTTAGCTGAATATATTGAAAGGTATTGTGTTTGAAATTCCTTCCATCTGGGACATAAAAAATTATGGTTTACAGCAACTTCCTGTAACTCACAAGAATGCAAATTATGAGATCAAGAGGGGACCTGAAAACTGCACATACATACACACACACACACACACACACACACACACACACACACACAGACGAACACACCAAAATCAAGAACAAAACAAATAACAAATGAAAAAGCAAACAACAGCAAAAAGTCAAACTTCCTAAAAAGCAATCAAACAAAAATTGTTCCTCAGGCTCTTCAAATTAACTCATCATTCATTTTTGCTTTGCCTATTTGAATACTATACACTCGACAGAGTAAGGAAGGTACTAGAGGACTCCAAGCATTTCTACTTCTACAAAGCCCTGCCAGGGCAGACTTAACAGACTGGAGATTCAGTTCCACTTAAGCCCTGGGAAGGCTCCTCTCTGCCCTTTCAGTTTGCTTCAAATTGCATCAATACATACCCATGTCTCCCTCTGATTGGTGGTCTAGGGCAGACATTTCTGTTCTTAACATGCCCATGGAAGTCTCTTCAACATTTTCAGCAGTCATCCCTGAACTGAGAGGAAGAATCTTTCCTGAACTAAGGAGGAGGGATGAAACCTGAAACCCTGGAGAGGAAGAGAAAGTTTTGTATTCTGAGTTTCCTAATAAGGACTCTGCAAGCACAACCCAGCTGTCTGTGTGACTCATTAACCACTCCTTACCGGTTCTGAACACATCACCTCTCAGCACATAGCATTTGTTGCTGGAGGAAACAGAATTACAAAGTAGTACGATGTGAAGTGAAATTAAGTGGACTACAGGACAGGAAACATTTCAGATTCATCATTACTACTTTAACAAAATTATTTCCTCGATGAAAGTCAATGTTATTAAGTGGGGAAATGTTGGTTGATTGATGGTCTGACTGATTGAATCAGGGTTTCACTATGTAGCTCAGTCAAGCCTCAAAAAGAACCACATTGGACCTGCATTTTTTTCCTATGTCTTATATTTAAAGATCAGCATTGCTGTAAGTCCTGAAATTTCAGATCATACCGGTAAAGGCAGATGAGACCCGGACAAGAAGGCAGAGAGGAAAGTGACACAGAATTAAAGGGAAAAATGACAAATTTCTGGAGTCAGAGATACTTGTGCCTGAGGTGACTATAGATGCAAAATCCCTGCAAGAAGAGTGAAAAATCCTGACCTCCCTGAAGTTAGCTAGAAACTTCACCAGTTGCATGTGATGTTTCCTGCTCTGGCTTCAGTCAACTGTGATGAGGGGGTGTCTTTCTTCACTTCTTTCTCTACATGGCTGAAGTCACTAACCAATGATCTTGTGGGCTGCAAAGCAAGTGTGAATTCTGTAGTTAGGGAACAGACACTAAAAATTACACTTCCATTTTGTCTGTACACACATCTTAAAATGAGTTATCAACTATGAATCACAAACATTTTAGGTGAAGCACCAAGACTCAAATCTCTTTCCCTTCCACTATGTCACCCCATAAGGCTTCTCACTATGTAAAACCTGAGCATAGTTTGACAGAGACTGTGTTGCACTGGATTGGGAAGATTAATGGCCCAACCATCACCCAGGAACCTTGTTGCCATGCAGATCCCTATTGACTGCACTTGGTAAGAATCTCCAGGTGACATCTCCAATGCTAAGAGTCCTTTCCAAAAACACTCCTTCCTGAGGAAACAGACAGAGCCACTCACATCTGTTGTACAAAGGTCAGTTCCTAGATTTTTTTTGTTTAAGCATTTATTTAAAAAATGTACATACCCAGACATGATAGAGGAGGAACTCTTACCTCAATCAGCTTTGAACCCCACACTCTGATCCCTGGTAACCGTCTTTTTGAAGAACGGGGAAGTGCCACCATTTCCCCTTCTAAGACTTTGATATGCTCTTACTCTTTTACAACTCCCCTGTCAGTACTTGATGATAAACTTTGACTAAAGCAGCCGGGGCTTCCGAGTTTAATGACCTCCTTCCTGTGATAGAAAAATATTTTCTTACAACCCAAAGAAAGCCTGAAGTCAGAAGGAGAAAAGAAACATGATGGTAAGAATAAGTGTTCACTCAATGAAATGCACACTTACCTAGTCCTGAAGCTCTGCCTTCTCAAGATAGGGGAGACTGCAGTTACCAGCCTACAGCCAGACTCTAAGAGTCTCATGAAAGAAGCGGAGAATGGAATGGTGAGGAATTGTGGACATAGAGAAGTGAGCTGGGGCAGATTTAATATCCTTATGTCTTAGTATTCTAATGTCATAAAGAGACACCACGACCATGAGATCTCTTTAAAAGGACAGCATTTAACTGGACCTTGCTTCCCTTGTCCTTATGGTGGGGAGCATGGTGGCATGCATGTAGACATGGTTTTAGGGAATCTGAGAGTTCTAAGTACAGATCTGCAGACGGCATGAAGAGAGAGAAGAAGAGAGTGAGAGGAAGCCACTAGGTCTGCCTTGGACTTCTGAAACCACAAAGACCACCCTCAGGGATATACTTCCTCCAACAAGGCAGTGCTCCTTGATCCCTTGCAAATAGCTCCACTTCCTAAAGTTCAAATATTCAAATATATGAGCCTATGGAGGCCATTTCTATTCAAGCCAACAGGAATCTGCCTGACTTCATTTAAAAAGCAGGATCCATTATGCTGTATTTTAGAAATAAGTTGCTATTTACAGTGTGAATTGAGTTGCTCTGTCTCCTGGAACTTGTCCTTCCCAAGCCTATGATCTTGGTTTGCTTTAGAGAATATCCTGAATATCCTTCTTTTTCTCTGAGTCTCCCTGACCTCCCCTGATCCCTCCTAACCACATGGGGGAGGGAATCACACTTTTTTTTTAAGTATATTTTAATTCTCTCTGGGCCCTTTGGCTCAATTCAGTAAAACTACAAGTGATTTTACTCCTTAAAAGGGGCAAAGAGGTGAATTTGGGCTATTTGCTCTCTCTTTAACTCATCTTAGGAGTCAGGGACTGGTCAGCCCATGGGTGTACCCCAATAAAATTCAAGCTTGCTTGAAAATTGGTTCAAATTGTGGAGGTGGTCTCCTATTCTCACCATTTGGATAAACACCAGCACACCTTGTTTCAGATATTATCAAAGTCCAAGAGATTGTTTTTTCATCCTTTAACTTGACTTCCCTGGATGTGGCTCTGGAGAAGGGAAGTAGCAGACTCTGTGGTTTGGAAAGCCAAGGAAATGTGGGAAGAAACCTCCATGATATGGAAGGAGTCTTTGATGGAGGTAGGGCAGGACAGGAGAAATTATTTGCTCTTCTGGGCTGTTACAGTTAAAGGAGGACACAGGGAATTAACTTCATGAGCTGATGAAAAGTATCCAAGCATTGAAGAAGTCAAGGCAGACAGAGAGCTAGAAAGGACTCAGCTTGGGCTATATAATAACATTTTCTTTCAAATAATTAATTAGTTGAAGGTTAAATAACCAGAGTTAGGCATGATGGTTTACACCCATAATCACAGCACTGGGAAAACTGAGGAAGGAGAATTTCTGTGAGTTTCTCATGAGATTGAGCTATAGACAAAGATAATTAATTAGGAATTTGGAGACCCGAGCTAAATGGATGAGTATTTCAGGGAGCTGGTTAGAGGTAAGCTTTGGGGTTACTATGCTCAAGACTAAGTGTGTCTAACTACCTGAATTCATATCATATCTTCAAAAATCATGTCACTGATGCTCAGAACAAAATTTATTCCCCATTACAAATGCTTCCTGTGTAAAACTTTAAGTAAGAACCCATTACAGGTAAGAAATTAAACAGACGCATAGAATACTGATTTTCTTTTCCTTCTTAAATTACTTAAAAGAAGCAACAGGTGTAGAATGACTGAAGTATGCCACATACATTTTGTATATAAGGTCATCTTTTTATTTGCTGTGACTGCTAGAATTAAGGCATTATGCTGGCCTGTCCCGTCATCTTACAGGATGTATACAGGCTGTGCCCTCACTAGCACAAGGTCCCAATAGGTACACAATTGCAGAAGTCCCTTTAAGAGATAAATTCTGCCCACTTCAGACCTCTCTCTTCTCACCAAGGCAGGCAGGACTTGTCCTCTCTCTCTTTCTCTCTGTCTCTCTCTCTCTCTGTCTCTCTCTCTCTCTCTCCCTCTCTCTCTCTCTCTGTCTCTCTCTCTCTCCCCCTCTCTCTTTCCCCCTTTGTCTCTCTCCCTCTCTCTCTGTCTCTCTCTCTCATCTTCTCTCTCTTCTATTCCCCTCTGTCTCTGTGTCTGTCCCTTTTCTCCTTCCCCCTAAACTCCTAATACCGTCTTCTTAATGCAACTCCACACTCAAGCTCTCTCTCCATGGAGTAATCTGTCAGCCACTGTGGTTCAAACCAGTGGTGGGATCATTCAGGGCCCTACTTACACTGTATTTTAATAGTGACTGCCTAAAGTAGACAATGTAACTTGAAAACTTGGGCCTGACAGAGGGTGACCGGCCACACCTTAAGCCAGAGGCCTATTCATCGTATTGGAGATACCACTACACACTCCATAGAGCACTTTTATCTTCATCTAGAACTGATTAACAAACACATTATAAGTATTTAAAAGTCGTGTCCAAGTTCCCAGAATAACTAATTAGGAAACCTTGGGCTCAATTCCATAAAAAACAAGCATAGAAGTTTAGGCCTTATGCTCTGCTGCATCTTCTCCAGCCTGGACAGGCCTAGTCTATTCTAGTCAAATGTATGCATGGCCTTGACTGGACATAGAAAACAACTACACAAGTCAACGTACTTAAATGCAAACATTAGTAAATGTGACATCATCTATTAAATCAAGGAAAATTAATGAAATAAAAAGGCATTTGTTAGTGAACCTCATAGTTGAGAGGAGGGATTCAATATCAGTGACATTGTAAAGTCAAAATCTCTATTGTTAATTTTTTTCTCTCTGTTTCCATACAACTGACAGATGCAAAGTTTGGGCAAATTCATTCTGGCTGACATATGAAAGAATACAGTCCATCATGGTATGGGAACCTTAGCAGAAACACTGTAGCAGCCTGTTAGGACAGGACTGTACAGAAACTGCTTATTGGCTGACAATAGCCAGGAATGGAGTGAGATGGGCCCAATGTAAAGATAAACCTCAGCCCACACCTATGTCTGTCAGCCCTAGAAATCACACCCAAAGGTCTCAAAACTCTCCAGACAGCATCAAGAAATGGAGACATAGTAGCCTGTAGGGGACATTCACCTTTAAAGAAAACCAGTCCTGATCACTGTTCCCTTCATGAGTCCAGGAAGAATTCATATAAAAATTCTTACTTGAGGCACTGGAGACTCACCAAAAGTCTCTTGACTTTCTGGAGAATGACTTGAAATCAGACCAATTATTTACCTCCACTCTGTTCATCAAGAGAAATCTTCTCTTTGTCAACACTGGTGTTGTGAGAGGTCTTGGTCCTATTGCGTCCTTTTTACCATTGGGTTGACCACTGATGGCTAGACTGAACTTGATGAGAAATATGTAGAGCACACTGTTGTTTGCTTGTTTGTTTGAGTCAGGGTTTTTCTCTATAGTCTGACCGTCCTGAAATTCATTCTATAGATCAGGCTGGCCTCAAACACATTCACATAAGGCATGCACCACCACTTCAAACTTTCAAAAGCACTTTTTCTCCATTTGGTCTGTTATACACAAAAGTGGTCAGCGGGATGGTCTAGATGGGAAAGGGAGAAAGGAGAGTTGTTTGCCCTGCCAGCTGGTGAACTTGAAGCTGGTATACACAGTAATAAAATGGCTGAACTGTAGTGGAATATAGTGG